GCCAGCCCGGTGAAATCGATCGACCGGTAGCGCACATAAGCTACGCCTTTTTATTTATTTACGCTACGTGTGTACGTGTGTACACCATATAAGCCGCCCTGCGCGAACTCCATGGCCGATAAATTGCAGCATTTTATGTGCGTCCACCTGCTTGACGGCGCATCGAGTCCGTCTGCAATCGCCTTGAATTTTTCTATGTTCTTTGCCTTTCGTTTATCGATAACGTGGATACCAAGGAACGTGGAATATCTCTAATGACGGTCTCTCTCTCTCTCCCTCTCTGTCTATTTTTATGTTATCTTCTTGGAGCTCTTGGCGCCATCGTTTATCCATAGATCTACCGTCTAGAGAAACAGTCTGTCTCTTTCCTCTTCTTAGTAAACATAATAAAAGCTTCTCGTAAATCTAGTATCCGAGATCGATACCAGTATTGGTTTATACGAGCTCATCAAGTTCGAAATTGTCAATCCGTTATTTGGATAGTCTTGCGCAGACTTTCTTGGAGCTGTAGTATCAAGTCACACAAAAGTTTTAATAAATTTTGGAATTGATTTTTGTTTACAGAAAATTTCATAGAAAGTCATCGTGCTATTATAAGTTTTCCATTTTTTACTTTTATATCTTGATAATTAAAAATGTCATTTCAGAGTGTATTTTTTTTAAATGTAAATAAATATAATTTATATTTTAATTGGGAGATTAAAATTTATTATTCATTTTTAGATCTGACGCCAATTTTTCTGAAGACTGTTGATTAAAAATCGTAGTTAATGTAGCGAGTTTATATTAAAAATTAATTGTTGTAATTAATCAGAAAGTTTTCCTCTCGAATAAAAGTTTGCTCACATTTTTTATTTATAATCAAAGGAGCACAAAGTTATCTTCTACGTAGGATATTGAAATATCTTGTTTCCTCCTTTTTCGAGAAAATAATTTCGTGTAACCGAGCTATTTCTTTTGAGTATTGGCTGATTCATAGGAATTTTGGATGCGTGGTAAAGCTTCTTTCTCTTTTATCGTAACTTACCCAAATAAATTCAGTGTATTATAACATTTTCTGGAGCGATCAATGATATTATGTATATATATATATATATATTAAATTGTGTAATAATATTGACGATATATGAAAACCATTAATCGTTTGTCCTACTTTAATTTAGTCCTTTTTGGAACACGTTATATTATTTTGTAATTAATGTAAAATGGTTACAAACTCTGATAACATACATAAAATATGAATTAAAATTAATGAAGTGAATATGCAAATTATGAAAGTAGAAGATATATTATATAAAAGTGTATATTGTGTAAAAAAAACAATATATAGAATATATAGATGCACAGACACAGAATTTTATTTGTAAAATTTTATGTTATAATTCTTTATTGTAGTTCTTTATTATAATTTTTATAGTTATGTAATAATTATATCTCGAATTACATTCTACTGAATTGAAACGGGCGTAATTTATATTTCAATGATTCGAAATTGCATAGGAATTTGTGCTCTTCCGCTTAAATGCATTGAAATTATTAGTAATTTCGCTTTTCAGTTAATTAAACAAATTGAATTATTTTAGGAATATTACACATATTTTTCTTGTTATTGGTATGAAAAAGAACTCGTCATATACATAGTATGTAATAAATAATTATGGTATTAAAAAATCATGAATCTATCTCCAAAAGAGACTATTTTTGAAAGAGAAACATTATTTATTTATTAAAATTTTTATAGTACATATATTAAAATTAATTTTTGAGTTTCTTGGGGTTAATTGTTGTTGAAATAACTTTTACTTTATTCGCTTAATTATTTACAAAAAAGGAAAGATCAAGGGACTGCTTTTAGATATTCTGCATGATCAAAATCAAATATGTTTATCCGATCGAATATATCTATAGAAAATAGTCTGATCAAAGGGGAAGGATCCCTCTAAAATATTCTTCCAAGGACATAACAATGATATCAGCCATTATCGCGTAGCTAATCAAATGAGTTATTAATTAAGATGGCATCCAGGGAATTGTTCAGCTCGCAGCGAGGGTTTGCCTGTCTCGCTCCTCCAGGAAACTATCACCCCTGCCTAGTAATTTCGTGTGTGCGGCCGTTTATCAAGTCAATTTGCCGTAACGGTCGTTAGGAGCACGACAGGTTTGATAAGGACTTAAATCGATGACGTGGGAGTTCGTTGGCTCGTAAGGGGCGGCCAACAGACTTCTTATTATGGTCTTTAGCGCGCGATAACCCTGAACTTTAAAGCTCGCTTGCTGGCTAACACGGAAACACGAGCTCGGCCCGTTTCACCACGTGATCTTCGCGCGGCTGCGAAAGAGCCGGTTAAAAATAATCCGAAAAGGTGCATCGCGGCGAGAAGTTCGTGATATTCTCCGGGTGCATCGCACCCGCGATTCACGCGAGTTTCGACTCTCCTTTCCACTTCCTCAATTCTCTTTCACCGCGCTCTTGTTTGATCGATGTCTCCTATTATTGTACACTCCGTTTCCTCTACATTATAGTCGGCTTGCTCATTCGCTCTTCCCTCGCTACTTCATCGTTCTCTTGTATAACCACTTCTCGCGCTTCTTCTCTACATCATTCTGTCAAGAACCGCATTTACTGTCTATTTTCGCCCGGTGACTATACGTATAGAGGATTCGTTCTCATGAGATCAACGCGTCAGGAATATCATGCATGCCGGTATGTCGGTGAGAGTCTTGTTTTTCTCTTTTTCTTTCTCTCCCGTTTTCTTTTACTCTTTGCACTTAATTTACACCGCGGCATACCTTCTCGTGCCTTCCTTTAAACGGACCTATAAAGGAAAATTCACGGGAAGGTTACTACGTGGATTACGAGTATGAAGTAGTTGTAAAGTAGACTGATAGTGGAGAAATTGTACGCGACCTCAACTCTCTGACGTGTCTTCAGAAAATCCTTTTTCTTTCAGCAATTTCTCAAAGAAAGGCCGTTGATGATATGCTGACGCAGCAGAACATGTAAAGTAGAACGTTCTCTGAAAAATTAATATCTATCTCTTAGCATTCTGGTACCACGATAAACTGAAAAAATGAGATGTATTATTTATTGAATTTTTTTTATCTAACACAGAAAAATTCTTTATTATTATATGTAAAATAGAAAGTACATGTAAAGTTTAAGGAATTAAAAATAGATTAGACGTCGATATCAAATTGAACTTTTGTAGGTGACTTTAACATAAATATCATGCATATTTTACTGATAAATTTAGATGTACTTTTGATCCTTGAAACTTAAGATTTTGGGCTATATCTTTTTATATCTTTTGCCAATTTGTCTTTCTCAGAAGTCTTATATATCTCTGACAATGAATATCTTATTCTTTTATGTAGAATAAGCGAAGAATCTCAAATGAATATAGAACAGATAAGATATCTCATGCCATAAAATATGGATATCGATAATCGCTTACAGGATGAATTTTGTCATTCCATGGAAATTATTTCCATTTAAATAAATCAAAAATTTTTGCAGAAGGCAGAAGGTAAAGAAAGAAATAAATATTATATTGAAAGAGAGAAAATAATAATTATCTCACAAATATATATAAATATATTAATATTTTGTATTAATATTTATACATGGCCATATATACCATATTAATTCCTCGAGAATTATACATATGTATATGTATACATTTATAATTTTCCTTTTTGTCCAATCATCTAACTTGTCGATAATTTGTTAAAATCCATAAATGTCAACCGAGCTGTCTCGTTGTGACTATTCATTCGATATAGGGATAATGAGGATCGCCAAAGCGCTAATAGATTCATGACTTACAATCCTGTATACTGGGACGCTTATCGATCTCGTGTTGCGCTCACGCATCGCGTGCTTACATGCATGCGATAATTGAGCTTAGCCTTAATCATTGTTTACAGTGATTATAGGTGCAAAGTTGCGCAATCAGTAATTTTATATCGGCGCGAAGTATATTTAAATGTTTTGCGCGGGAGAGAGAAATTCTATGTTTCGATTTTCGCACACAGTCCGGGTTAAACACAAATCTGTACATTTTATCACTCGCTAAACAATAACGAAATGCTTCACGGTGAATTTTTTTATTTTGCTCACCTTTTTCAGATATATTCCGACGATATTTGTTTTTTATGCGTGTGAAACCATTTAACAATATTGGATTTTAATTACTTCGTAGTATTATTCTGATACACGTGCCAAGCACTATCCAGCGTTTTATTCAATTGTGGAATTGCGAATTATTGTGATTGCAAATATTCCTATTTAAGCAATTGATAGGTTAACGAATCACTTATCCACCGCGTAAATTGCCTCTGATCTCTACAGTTTAATTAACCGCTTGTCTTTGAAACAACGATAGTGATTACTAGTCACTTAATGAAGGAATCAGAATCATTGGACGCGTTTATTCGCGAGATTTCGCGCAACTTTAAAGTCCTATTGCTCTGTTGCACGACGCTAATTTAGCGTTATAGCGATTATTAATAACATCGTTAGAAACTACAGTATGTTGATATAGTCCGGCCGAGCATAAAGTCGAGTTTTAACTCTTGCCATATAAACGTTACTTTACATTTAGACTGACAGCTATTGGCTAAATTTTGCGCGTGTCGCATATCGGAAATAAAGCGATACTGCAGTTTAATAATAAAATTATTCGCAAAGATATGAGATACTTGCACGAGTTATGTGAGTTTATATGAACATTATTTCCATTGTATGATTTTAATTGCGTTTCATTATTACCCCGAGACTGGAGAATTAGTCGAGAAATAACATTACACGTTATATCTTCTAAAGGAATACGATTGTTTGAAACGGTGAAAATGTGCGATTATTATTTTTCGGAGAAAGTTGCAAGCACGATAAAAATGTAGATTCTTATTTCTTTATTTAATGAGTTTCGATCTCGCAAAAAAAAAAAATATTTAATATGAATAGATATTTTATCCGAACGTTTTATTGTCTGTTTCAGGTGGTGTTAGTTTTCGTTCTCAGTATAGCATCGCTTATAATATACTTCATCGATGCCTCCAAGTGAGTAACAAAAATACATAATTCTCACGTTTATCCAAAATATTCATAAATATTTATTTTTGTTTCTTTATGCAATATTGGAAATGTTATGCATAATAGTAACATTTGATAGCTTCTTCTCGCGGTTTAATTAAATTTGTAAAACGATAATCACTATTTTAATCACCCTCTTAGAGTTGCTTTTTTTAAAGACCGAGACCTTCGCGTAAGAGATGCTGACCTAACATCCGCAATCTCGTGCTTTCATGTTACAGCGAAAAGGTGGAGTGTTGCCAGAAGTGGAGCAACAACATTACTCAGCAGATAGACTTAGCTTTCAATATATTTTTTATGGTCTACTTTTTTATACGCGTAAGTAAGATCATCCATTTCATCTGTCTTGTAAATTTCTCTACTTAACATTAAAATGCGATTATAAATAGAATACTAACAATTTACAAATTCCACAATAATTAAAAAAAAATATGTTGTGTTTTCTATTTTTTAAATATTTTTTTAATACTGCAAAAATAAAAGTTAAAAAGGCGAAGTTTTTACTAAAATTAAAAACAGTAAAAAATATTTCAAGTTTATAAAAACAAATGTGCGTTGCACACTGTAAAATGTGCGCACTATTTTGTTTGTATCTTGTGAAAATCTTTCGAAATGATCTTCTGGCGCAATGTAATATTTATTGAACTAATTGCTCGCGTGAACCACACATGTAAACCTGCTTCTTGTTCGTACGATTCGCGCAGTTTATCGCCGCCAGTGACAAGCTGTGGTTCATGCTGGAGATGTATTCGTTCGTGGACTACTTTACGATACCACCGTCCTTTGTATCGATATATCTCGATCGGACGTGGATCGGACTGAGGTTCCTCCGAGCCCTACGACTGATGACGGTCCCTGACATCCTCCAGTACCTCAACATTCTAAAGACATCGAGCTCTATTCGTCTCGCCCAACTCGTATCCATCTTCATTTCCGTATGGTTGACCGCTGCTGGCATCATTCATTTGGTGAGACAATCATCTTTTTGCGTATAAGTAATAACTACAATATTATGTCAATTATCTTGAATCTTGAATTATTTATCACAGAAATTATAGAATAATTTATTCTAAAACTGATATAAATTAATAATGAACTTCAAATTTTTATTATATTTTATTTTTCTCGAATTATATTTACATTATTTTTGAAATATCTCAACACACACATTATAATTAAATATTTATTATGTAGATCTTTATCTAGATTAGCTATCTTTTTTTATGTGATGTGCTCTTTTATAAAATTAGAAGTAATTTGTGCGTGTTTAAACATATTTTACGTAAAACATAGTTTAAACATGCATGAAAAATAATAATTTTTTAATAAATTTGAAGATATAAAAGAAGGATAATTGAAAAATTCTTGTTAATTAAAAATTAAAGCAAATTAACTTGAAGAAATATGTAATAACTCTCTCTTTCTCATAACTAATAACTGAATATACTTTAATATATATTACAGTATATTTGTTGTGGAAACTTCTAAAATAAGGATTAGAGACATATATATTTTTCTGCCTTTTATCATTCCTCCAATCTTTTTTATAATATAATTTCTACGATTTTAATCTTCCGTAAAGGGAATTTAATCTCATCGTATTTGATAATATACTTTTTTCTCGCGATTCTCACATTTCCTTAGGACACCCTATCCGCAGAAATGCGAGAACTATATATTCCTCGGATGTTCCTCGCATTTATACTATATTGTGCAGTAGTAAAAGCTTACGATTATTATTATCTGCCAATTTAAATCGCAATTTCACTACTGACGCCGGCGGGAGATGGACCTGAAATGTAATAACATCGTGTCCGCAGCTTGAAAACTCAGGGGACCCTTTCGAGTTCACGAACCCGCAACAGCTTTCGTACTGGACATGTGTGTACTTTCTGATCGTGACGATGTCCACGGTAGGATATGGCGACGTTTTCTGCCAGACGGTCCTCGGCCGCACATTCCTAGTATTTTTTCTACTCGTCGGTTTGGTAAGTTATCCTTATTCATATTCTTTACGTATAATCGAGTTAACATTTAAGGTTTATCGTCGGTTAAAGGAATCTTTTGTAGCTTCGCGTAAAAAATACGTTCCTCGAAAATCGCGTTGTTATCCAGAGAGAACACGGTTTCTATTTTATGCATTCGCCAACGGATAATTCTTTCATCCTGATCCGGTTTCTCTGTAGATAAATGCAGTGACATTTTTATGAGAAAAACGAGAGAGCATGCAAACGTCTCTAATTAAATTTTTTACTACTTTCTGTGTGTTCCGTTTAATAAATATTATACAGCTTCCGAAATGCAGGATAAAATAAATAAATAAATTGTTATTCTCATAGAAATGCTATTTGCTGTATTTTTCTACTGTATTTTCTTCACCCTCGACGAGCTGCGCGAAGCGTGATAAAAAGATTCAATTTTTTTCCCATCGATTGATTTTCTCAATGGATACTTAACATACGAAGAAGAGCTCTACGAGACCCTACGAGAGTCTCTAAGTTTTTTGTCGTATCGTAGCAGGATATTGAGCCTTTTCTTTTTGCCTTCTATTAACTTCTCATCTATCGGAGAAATTGAGTTCTTGCCCCTTTTATTTATCTTTCCGTCAAATCGGTGCCACGATATTTTTCACACGTGTATTTTTTTTCTTTCGTATCTCGAAGAAATCCCAAATTACGATCGCGTATTTCTTGTTATTCGGCGCTTCGCACAGCTCGTTTCGTCAAACCGGAGCCGCTAGCTCGCTGGTTTTGCCAAGGCTCCGTACATCAGAGCGGAACCATCGGCGAGACGAGCGACAGTCTCAGATTTACGTGTCCCCCGAGCCGCGAGACGGTGAATATTTCGAGTGTAAAGTGTTCTCCGGCCGTTGATCTTCCTGTGTCCCGAAAGGCGCCGAGAAATGACCCACGGCACAGCCAGCGTTTATTCGCGAAATTTCTGTCTCTATGGTATACTCCAGATGATATCCGAAGTGGCATTTTCTTGAGAGTCAACATTGAAAGATGTTATTTATACATTTTACGAATTCTTTGGATTAAGCGATTAAAGCTGGAGCTATAATTTGGATTAATTATCGATAATAATGTACGTTTCTATGACTCATAAAATTTTTATGTAAATTTCAAAGAAACTTTTTTAAAACATATATTAAGTAAACTAATGTTTATAAACTTTATTTTAATAATAATATAACTTTGTTGATTTTTCTCTCAAGATCATATTTGCAAAACATGCCATCTTTTATAATAGACATATTTAGTTCTTTTGTGGTGAATTCAACCCACTTTTTGAACTTTCTACATTATAACTCGGGACAAAGGGAAATATGATTGTCCCATAAATGATTGAAATAACGCTTTCGTTTAATGTACGCGAAAGTGGCTTTTTGGGGCAGAAACCAACGGCGGAGAACGATACTACTTGTTATACGGAATCGATCGGATTCGTTTGAACGCTGTTGCGCGCATTATTATGAGCACGCTTGTATCTTGTTATGTGTACATTCATGTACGCGTACGTTCTATCGATCATTCACGTGGACGTTATACGGTTGACTTGCTCGGGGATAACAGCCTGCTCTTGGAGGTTTCCTCAGAGATGCGTCGCATTTTTCTCTCGTTTAAAAACGCGAGCATCGCCGTTCAAACGTCGGGAACGCGTTCAAGCTAACGTTTGTTCGCAGCTCTAGAATATTCATAGATAACATTGATTATCGAGCTGCAGAAAGCATAGTCCGAAAATACGGTACATTCGACGTACATGAATTTGTGATACAAAATTGATTTGTTTCCGCATAAGGGCTTAAATCGCACTGCGAATAAAATAAACGTCTCTTTTTCTTTTCAAGAGATATTTTATTATTTGTGTATATTGAAAAATATAAAATGCATTTAGATTTTGTTTTGTATTTTTAATAGTTTTTTTTAAAGAAAATATTAGCGGTTATATTTTAATATATGTATATATAAATCGATCATTTAATCAGTCACGTTACATCGAAATGCCAGAAGAGTTACTGGCAAAAAATTGTCGCGAATTAAGCCTTTATTGCGATTTTATAACGATTAAAATAAAGAGAGTCCCTTTAGTCATCAGGCAGCTTTACTCGTGTTCTCGTATATTGTTTTAAAATGTGCTCATTTTTCTGTAACTTGTATATATCTCCAAAATATATTGAATACTATATTCATTGCAAAGCAGGTCGCGATAATTTGATCCATATCGCATTGATTCGAATTTTAGCTACGATAATAGAAGAAACCAGAAGGCAAAGATATTAACTTTGTCTTATATATGCCTTGTCTCATATATGTTATTATGATATATCGCGTATATCGGAACCGTCGTGATGTTTCAGAACGTTTTGATAAGAGAAAGGTGGCTTGCGCAATGCAGTCACGCAAAATACATTTATTAGTTATACAAAATAATCTTATAGACATGTATATAATATGTAAATAATCTCATAACAATAACATTGAAAACAAAATCAATTTTATATCTAATTTAGTTCAAAATTTTGTTGTGTTATTAAAAAGAATTTCATATTATTGCAGAGTAAATTATACAAAAATTATTAAGTATGATATATATTATGTGTCTATGATATGTGAATACACACAATTCAATACCTATTTAATATATATTTTAAATAAAACATAAACGATTGCATTTAATAGTCAATACTTTTTCTGGCAACTTGTGTAAGAAAAGTATAAAGCAACAAAATCCTTTTATTTCAAATATTAAATATTACTGTGTATTTGATTCCATAAATTATTTTGAAATTACTCAAAGAAAAGCTTTTTAAAGCACTTTATGATCCAAGAAGCATTGAAAGAGAATCATTAGAAGCAAAATCTTGATATAAAACTCACGACGGATTTCGATAACAACTTCATGTGACTTTATGTGACTTTTGTACTTACAAATCTCACTTTATAATCGAAAGGGAACAAGATTATACTTTTGTGAAGTAGAAGCTTAGCCAGAATATACAGAGACTGCTTCAAATATCTCTGAAATAATAGATAATAATGTATATAGAATTATTTTAAACTATTCTTGACCGCGTATTATAAAATATAGCCCCAAACATGATTTTCAACTCAATGATTGCAAAAGGAAAAAGAAATTAAAATAGCATTTTAAATTCATCTTAAAACGATTATTTTTACATGTTAAAATATGAATCAAAAATTATGAGAGATGGGGAGATTTTTAATTTTATTAGACAATTTAATAAGTTAATTTAATCGACATAATTAGTAAATAGATGTAGTTTCTAAAAAAGAACGCAATTTATTATATTATAAAACATTTAGCTTAACAATATTTTACTTCACTTCGAATCACGTTTTTTCTCAAATTAATTTGCTATAATTGCGAGCGCTCGAGCTTCCTGATTTCGGTATTACGTGAAATTGTGAAAGAAGTAATTGCGGTCATTACGTATTTGTACGACACATTGTAGCTATTGAAGGCATATTTTACTCTTCCTCTGTCTCTTTTTCTCTCTCTTTCCATCTTTATCTATCTATCGATCTATCTATATCTATCTATCTATCTATCTATCTACCTATCTATCTATCTATCTATCTATATCTATCTATCTATCTACCTATCTACCTATCTATCTATATCTATCTATCTATCTATCTATATATATTTTACGGCTTAAATTGGTTCTACGAGTTTTGCTACAGCCACTGTCTATCTTTTTTCTTCGATCTAAGAATCACTTGTAGCTAATAATGCGGCGAATCGATTAATTCAATTAATCGATTCAGCTTGTCATGCGAATGCTGCGATATATATATGCTGCGAACTTATTTTTTTCACGATACTAACGAGTATCGACAGGACTTTTACTAAACAAAGAGCCTCGAAACTTTAAGCGATGGAACTTTGTAAATCTTGTTCCATACTTGTACTACTGGATCTCACGAGAGTGTATATGAACGATTTATATCTACTATAAAAGAAGAGTCACTTAGAAAGTCGTATAAATATTTTTATTCTTATTCATAAATGTTTAGATAATTGATTTAGAAGTTAGATAATTCTACAGTTTCATTATTTGGTATAATGAAAACTTAAGCAAATTAAATTAATGATGAGTGTTGCTTTCTACGAAAGATAAAAAAACATTCTGTATTTCATACTTTTCGCACAATTGTTGCAATTTTTGAAATTCGAATTACATAACTTTCTTTGACACATTCAGATAGACGAGTGTCATATAAAATTTGAAAAAAATATGAAAAGCGAGAGATGAAAAATTTACGCAAAAAAATACACGATCTCGATTTGGTGATTCAGCAATCCACACACACACAGCCAGAGAGATTCGAGGTTCTCCATATACTATATAAATTTTTCTGTATCAACTTTATCATATTTCTCCCTCGAAGGCCGTAAGGCTCTAATGGCTTCGATAAGATATTGATGTCTGTACGCGCTTGATCCTTGACTGTTCATTCTATCTGTATGTGTATTTTCTGCGATACGCTGATACGCTGCTCACACATATCTTACGACGTAAGATATTGTTCTGGCCGCTTGACCTTTATTTTTGTCGAATTATGTCGGCCGTAGTATACGATACTTCCAGTAGTGAATTCCGAGCACGACGAAATCATCAAACGAAATGATTTTAACGAAACTTAGTCAAAGCACAACGTTCGTTCGCTTCGGATTACAAGAACGTTCACTTCCCTTTTGCTCCCCTGCAATCGATAAAGAGCAAAAGCTATAAGTATAATATAGTTTTATTGTATTACGGTACAGGAGATACCACTTTGCCTCTCTATCGATTTTAAATGGCGCGCTGTAAACTTTGTTAGAGAACAATCCTCGGAAGATGGGGGACCCTCGTGCAATTAACTTTAGGACTTTTCTTCAAATTGGCAGTTTCAGATTATTAGAAATGGAAAAATTCAATTGAATTGTCCTCGCGAAACACGGGCGGAGTAAATAGAAAGTTAAATTAAATTTAAGATTGATTATTATTGACTTTTGTCATGTTTAATATGAAAAATTTAATTTTTCTTTAACTTACCTATCTATCATCTTCTTAACACGTATCTATCTATTATCTTTATCGTATTAATAATATAACTTTTGAACGAGACGTCATTAACACTTCTCGGATACTGTAAATTAATTTTTTTATTCACGCTTGCATTTTATCAAATTTTTAAATTATATTATCAATGTTTACTTATATGTATAGAAATTTAATGATTCTACATCTGGTGTAAATTCTCCTACATTTCCGTATAGACTATCTATTAAATTGATTTACTCTAGGATGTTAGAATAAACGTATATCCAGCCATTCTACTCTTTCGTATATGTTGCACCAAGAAATTTGTAACCGAATCGTTAGAAAATCTCCCGATTAGTCACATTCAGTCGGGTGGGAATGAAAAATCATGTCCTCGTAACATTTAAAGAGGCGGGGTTCTTTTGGAACACTCTCAAAGCGCTTTGGCACTCATCTGAAAGTATGATATCACGTGTCTCCGTATAACGCGCGGCAGGCAAAGAACTACTTTTAACCGAATTCAGTATACATATTTTGCAGACACGAGCGGTAATAAACCTGAAATTAGACGACGTCGTGCGCGCGTGCGTGCGATCGTAAATTAAAACGAACTCGGAGACGAGCTTAAAAGATCGCTAGATTCTCCTGACTCACCGAGCTCGGTATTTCAAAGTGAGACAGAGATGAAGTTGCACATTGTCTCCGATTGCATAAACGAGGAAAAGGAAAGGAGACTGCATTATTTCAGAATAACACATAAAGAAAAGAAAATTAGATTTTCTGACGTTACAATATAATTATACATATAAATTTACGCGCGATATATTTGTTATCTTTTCAAAATAAAAACCGATGCATTTTATAAATTTCTAGATAATATTTCATAATTCATATTAATGCTCTTCTCATCGTAAAGAAGTATTTTTTGATGATGAAATCAATTATATCATATTTAATTGTACTAAATTATTTGTATTAATTTTATTAAATTCTCCTTGTTATATGCAAATTTTACGTGTAATGCATTCCAATTATATAACAGATGATAATCTCGCTATTGGTATATGAATATATTAATTTACGCCCAACTCACAGTAGAATTTTATATGACTACAACGATGTATTTAACATCCACATCGAATTTTGCTTATAAAGCTCTGAGTTTGCAAGTGAATTTATTATCTATGTATTTACATTATTTGTTTTTATAGTGGCGTTCATTCTCACAAATATCCATTTGGAAAGTCATTCGGTTACAAACTCTAGGTTTGCAAATAGATTTGTTTTATCTACGAACTTTGAAATTACAAATTAAATTTTTATTCCCAAAGTACTGTAATCTCTCTTTCTCTTCCAGAATAATCATCAATTAATATTCTGCATACAAATATACATTTGCTATATTATCTATTACAGTTCCTGAAATTGTGTAAGTTAATATTCTATTTACTAGCACTTCAGAATACGCGATTCTTATTAAGTACTGCTGAAGTTCTAAGTTCTATATAGAAATTCTCGCGAATTCTCATTTTGCTACGTATTTATCATTCGGTGAAGTAATCGCGGTCAAACAATTCGCTGCTTCGCCATGCTATGATATTTTATACAGGACATCTACATATATTTTCTGGCTGTTCATTAAGAACTATATATTATCGAGCGCACAAAGTGTCGACACTTTTTTTCTCAATACTCTGTCTCTTACGATAATTTCATTGATCTCGCAGTGTCTTTAGTTGCCTATGTAATTATCTATCGCGACGAAAATGCCTAGTCGCGAATCACTTTCAACACCCATATTTAATGGCAAATAACGTGGCATGACACGACTTTGTCGATCGTTCATAATAGATCATATCTTTCTCACAGTATCCGGCACTATAGACAATTTACATAATTGCGCTTTCTTCACTTTACATATGCACGAAGAAAAATCGATTTGTCAAATTTCCTTTCTGCTTCCGTTCACCAAAGGAATCGCTTGCATCTTACGTCTGCTTCTTACTTGTTAATTATAAGTTATATTCGCTTGTACATGTATTACTCGATATACATATTTTATATAGCTTCTATTTATAAATAGCAGAATTATATAATTTATTATTATTATTACTAAATTTATCGTTATCTGATATTTTTTAAACTTTTTAAATAATTTCAAAATAAATTAAATTTGATTAAAGATTCACACAAGTTTGTTTTAATCGAACAAATGTAATAAGACAATGAAAAGATCAATTAGATCTAACGACGACTTAATAACAATGTGTTCCCATAGGGGACACCCTGAATTTATAGAATTACATTGTTTTATTGAGTCTTTGTCACAAAAGTTTAAAAATTTTTTATTCATTATTAATTAAACAATATTGATGTTTTTAGAATATGTATAAATAAAATATATATCTGCTGTTTCTCTCTCTCTCTCTCTCTTTCTTATATAATTTTTTTCTTGCCTATTGTACTGCTTCTATTTATACTCTCATGCTTAAACATTATACTGCATACATAAAACTTAAAACATATACACCGGATGTTCTATACGATTGCAACAAAATCTTCTTGATGTAAGTATATTTCAATGTAACAATATAACAATAGCTTTGGACACACGGAATGATATTTTGTAAAAATATTTTGCTGTGATTATTAGACGTGGCTTTTAAAATCGATTTTTTAAATAATTGACAGATAATGTCAAATTATAATATTAAAAATTAAACACAACTGTAGTAGGAATTATTCTTTATATTTTTAGTTTATTTTTTTATATTTATTTTATAATCTATATATGTATATTATTAAATAGCTTTGTAAAATATACATATATACATTTTGTAGGCATTATATGCATATTTGATGCACAATTATACCTTCTTCTTTTTTTGTTCAATATTTTATGCATCGCAACTAAAATGAGCACAGAATCGGTTTGTTGCTGCTAAAATCTTAATAGATGCTTAATAAAAATTTTCATAAATTTCATGTTGATATAATCAACAAAATTACTTTTCTCTACACTGTATGTTTTCTTCTTTGTGTATCGATTCAGAATATTTCCTTTAAAATTTCGATATATCTAAAAGCATCGCAATTTTCATGTCACATGCACACGCGAACACGAAACATGAAATATAAATGATTGCACTACACAGCTGCATATTTTTTCCTGTTTCTCTCCTTTCTTGTTTCGCCATAATTCTCTCTCAATATGAGAGAGACACGCACTTGAATTACGTCGATACAATGCGGAAGCATTGCTGCTCTTTAAACGCAACCAAACATAGATGACCCAATTTGTTAGTTTTTTTTTTAACGACCCGTAGTCGCATAGTGTTTTCCAGTTATGATTTCTATTTGCAGGCAATTTTTGCTAGTAGCATACCCGAGATAATAGACCTCGTAGGCAGTAGGTCCAAGTACAGCGGCGAGTACAAGCGGGAGCATGGAAAGAGGTATTATTATCAAATTACATCCTCCAACCCTTTACCTCTTGTCTATTAATTTTACTTTCCTTCCAGTATGTATATGTATATACTTACTCGTATACTTTACGTAAGAATTAACGAATACACATTAACATGGGGCGCGCAACATATACACGCATTTGTACACGCAACACGTTGTACATACATGCACACACACGACGATGCGCAATTTGCACGCGTGCACTTGCACACATTCGTCGTGATATATATATATATATATATATATATATATATATATATATATATAACATCCGCCATCGTTTAATCATCGTTCTACGCTAAGGTGGAACACGAAGAGCTCAAGGACCGGTGTGATGAATGCATGAAAATTTACAGCAGTCGGAAGTACATAGGGTGACTCGTGTAACGACCGCGTGGTGTGGTATAATCGTCGCTGGCGCATTCCCTTTCGTTTCCCAATGAATCAAACGGTTCTGTCCGCGCGGTGAAAGGTCCAATAAAGCGAGAAGGAAAAGAGAGCTTCGCGATTGACACCGGGAGCTGTGTACAAAATAAAAAGTGGGAAATGCTCGTGGAATCGGAATATCCTGATATCCGACTATTGCGCTTTCATTCATATAACGAGCACCGGATCAATCTAACGACATTCGTATATATTTTTGTACAGGAAGAAACAGTCATTAAAATGTGTGGATTTGGATTTGCAAATGAGCCTTTCTCATTTATTTTTATTTGTTACTTTTTATTGAATGATTCGATATGAAACAACGAACAACGATAACGCGTATTTTAATGCAATTGATTTTGATAAAAAATATATAGATAAAAAATCAATATTAAAAGTTGCTACCTATTTTTGTATATAGAGTATAAAATAAATTGTTTTATTTCTTGCAATGCCAATAGCTGTGAAAAGAAGGTAAAATATTTTTTAATTAAAAACATTATATTAATACGCTGATAAAATATCTTGGATCTATTAAACTGGAAAATAGATAAAAAATACTGGACTCTATTTTTTTAGTTGATTTAATTTTTTTATAGAAGAAAGGGCGAACTGATTGTCATAAAATAAGCGCATTGATTTTATTATAATCGTAATGTTAAATGAAAAGGAACCATTTGTGGTTCAAGTAAATGTTAAGCCATCTGGGACGACTAGAAGTGAATATTTTCTGATATCAGTTGAAACCATTTCGAATTAAAGCCGATAAAGCACAGCTGGCATAAATTGACACACTTTTCGCGCATAGTCATTAACAAGTTCCAGTTATTATCTTGCTTGCCCATTCTTTTAAAACCAATTTGAGTGCATTCATTGTAAAGTCTTTCAATGAACTAATTTTTGCTCCGAATAAATATTTTAGTTTTTTAACACTTTGACTTTATATCATCATATTTTAAATAATACTTTTAAAACAAAAATATATATGAATTGAATACGTTTATACGATTTTCTTTGTACACATATTCTTGAAAAAATGCATCTTTTAATATTTTAAAATTGTTGAATGTTCTGACAATGACCTTTCACCGTGCGATGCAAAGTCAAACAAAATGTGTCTGATGACGAAGATTTCGTGTAAATCCAAAATGACGAGAGAAGCAGCTGTGCTTATAGTAAGTTTGTCTTATGCATGTGTATTTTGTATTATCGATCGAAGTGGTTTTTTTATCGTATACCAATTATATCGCTCTATTTCTACAGCACGAAGCAACAAGCACCCGCATTAACACATATAATATAATACATAAAATAATATTATAGAATTAAGACGATACAAGTAACAGAAATAACTTGATGGAATCTGTGTCATATTTTTCTAACTTAAAAATTTCTAGTTTTCATACAATTTTTAGATATTTCGAAAAAGTGATTAGTTAAAACTTATTTGAAAACTTCATATCAATAACTATTTTAGTTAAATACTTAAAAAAACTTATCACTTAACTCCATCAGGTTTTTTTGTCATTAAAATTAAACATTTTTTTATCAAAAGCACAATTTTTCAACACACATAATTTGCCATTTTAGTCTGCTACCTTTAGTATATAAACATAAACAGAATTACAACACTGCACTATAGTAGGATGATATACCAGTAGAATATATGATACATATTTTTTAATCTCTTTAATTTTCATTTTTTTATTTATCAAATATATAATTAAACATTTTTAAATATATATTCGTAAAAATTAAATCACATAAAATGATTCCAACAAATTTAGTAATCCAATACATATAAATAACTTAAAATTTCATTTTATTCAATTAAACATAAATCGCGTTGCATGATTTAATTACACACTTTACACCAATATGATATATAATTCACATACACACACATACACGCACACACATACTTAATCATATTATTACAGAACAATTCAGTCGCAACGCACATTTTACAGAAATCCTAATTTTTATTTATCTCCTCGATTCTCCTGTAAAATAAGGAATATTACAATTCTCTAGTTTATAATATTTTTCCTACACTTCAATAGATAATGCCATGTTTGAAACAACGTTGATTACTTGAAATTGCCGGCATCATACGCTATAATAGTGCCTGCATGCTAGAATTTATTTTTATGACCTTCGTGCAAGATAGTGTTTTTCCGTCTCTAATAATAATTAAAGATATGAGGAATAATTGAAGTCGATTAACATTATTTCCCAGGGTTAATCAAGAATCATCGCGTCGTAACGCAACAGAGCGTTTGTTATAATAACATGGAAACTAACGGCACTGTGTTTATGAAACGATTGACTCATTTCGCAAGAATATATCGAGACGAGTTATCGTTCTCAATCTTATTAAACACTTGATTTCTTTATGACGTATGTTGCGCAACGCTAATTTAATGATACGCACAATTTGCAATTGCGCTAACTCGTAGTTTCATTTATAATAGTTGATTTGTTGATTCGATAAAGCATATTAATTTTATGCATAAAAAATTACAAGGCTGTTTATAAACGATTCTATTCTTCATCCTGTTTGCTTGAATAAGATCATCATGAGATCATAACGCAGCACTAGTTGAAAATAGATGTGTCGCAACAGATAAGGATGCGTCGTATTTCAGCAAACGTTTTGCAAATTAAGTTGTACTTTTCTTGACAAGCTGCATTAATTTCAAGCAAATTGGAATATATATGAGACTCGAAAGTTAAGACAACTCTGCATGATTGATGCAATTGCATTATTATATGCATTCTATTAAAGTTATATTATACAGCATTATTATGCATCGTAAAGCAATTTTTTTATCGTGCACATTCGACAACTTATCGCGATATAGATATTCCGCGTTTTATTTTGAAATTAGTATAAAAATGAAGAAACGGAATATTTAACATAAATTATCATAAAATATGAAAATATATATTTTAATTATATTTTTAAAAATTATTGTGCAATTTTTGAAAAGTTGATTATTTTGAGAATTGATAAGAAATGTAATTCTAACATTGAAAAAAAATTCTCTAAGATTTCGAAAATTGATGAAAATTATTTAAAAATCTGTTTTTATACATATTGAATTTTCACAGGATTAACATAATAAAATAAAGACAAAAAAGGTTTATTTAAAAAAATCCAAACCGCAATTTGTTAACATGAAAACTTATAAAATGCGTGTTGGATAATTTAAAAATAATTATAAAAACGTATTATAACTCGTACACTTTGTCAAACACTTTAATACCTTTCAAAGTTCCCTTTTTCTCTTTGAAAAATTATTAATTGTTCTAATTTTGAATTTAACTAGAACATGCAGACATACAAATATTTAAAAATTTAAAAATGCTAAATGTTACAATACAATTTTGTTTAGAATAATTCTGCTGTACAAAAAAGTTATTGTTTACATTCTTTCAAAGCGAATTCAATTTGAATAAAACTTCTTTAATACGTATGTTAGAAATAATTCTGCGATGACATTAAAATAATCTCTCGTATTTTATTAAAAAAATATATAGGACTTAGGATCATTATCAGTATTTAATTTAATCTGTATTGAAAACTATTCGCATCATTGCTGTTGAAATAATCTACACAATCCAATGACACAAAACACGCAAATCATTTTCACCAAAATATCGCATCATTATTTGAAATCGCGCCTCAGTCCGGCTGAGGTCCGCACTTGTCATCTTCATTTCTACAATTTATCGCACGTAACGAGCGATCAGGATATAACAAAACCGGAACGCAAGCGAAAGCACAAAAAGAAAGAAAAGAAAGCGAAAGAAAAAAATAAAAATAAAAAGAGATTCAGGTTAGGGGTCTGTTCTGACGGCAACGGATGATTGTGGGTGTGTAGGCGGTGTTCGCCAGCTGGATCCCAGAGATCACGGAGCTCGCCGCGAATCGCTGCAAGTACGGTGGCCAGTACAGCCGCGAGCGTGGACGCAGGTACCCCAGAAATCCACCTACGTGGAAGCCAGCCAACCCCTTGAAATTATAGCCTTCTCTCTCCCCTCGTGTTGTCCCAGTAGTAGTCACATAGATATACGAGAAGTAGCGAAATCGCTCTGGATAGCGAATGGTCTCACCCCTGCTGCGACGTCCATCACAATTCCCTCAACATCATCTCGCTCAAACACGTTGATCACACAATTGACCTTTCAACGAGAAAGATAGCTTCTCGCCCGCAATTAGTGCAGCGCGTTATAATTAAGAGAGATGATGGGAGACGATCGCGGAATAAATCTTCATTTCCCGGAGGAACGTCGCGGGTGATTAACGTGTTTTGCGCATGTTTTACATTTTCGTCGCCGCGATTTTATAACAGAAAAGTTTGGCGCAGCGGGAAAAGACTGGCGAGAAAAGTTGGATAAGCACGATATACGAAGTATTTTAATGACCGCGCTGTCGCCCAACCTAGTTCGGTTCTCCAACTCGACTTTTCGGGCTTCGATGAATATTGTCACAAGTTGTTTTTCTCGCGTGAAAGCATTTTTTCGCATCGCGGAAACGAGACGCGAAAACAAAAAC